TCATTTACATAGACGTAATGTTAAATTTTGTGATTTTTGACTTTTTAAAGTAGCATTGTGCAAAATTGTACGCATCCATTTTCAAAATATTTGGGGGTTTGGTGGGGGTCAGTGGGGGCTATCCAACGCACCACTCATATCATGAATCGCTTTCACAATGATAAACTGGGACATGTCTTTTAAGGTTAAAATGACACTTTTCATTGTGAATATTCTTAATGATATTTCAGAAATTATTAAAACTTTAATGTTTAGTTTATAGTACAATATAGAAGGTCTTAATGCTAAACAACAAACTTATTTAAAGAATGTTTGAAATATTTATTAGGCTTTAAAATATTTTAAATAAACAATTCATACACAGCAACTGTTTCTGTTTTATATAAATACGTATGTATGTATTAATATGAATTTTGTAATATACAAACAGTAAAATTATTATTGTTTACAATAAGGGGTAATTTGTTATTATGAGTTATTTTTAAATAGTATAAACATATAATTTATAGCTTTTTACTGAACTTACAGTAACTGTCCTTTCCTTTCATTAGATTTAATAAATGCATTCAAATACTAAATCATAAGTAAAATAAGTGAACGCATAATGAGTGCCAAAATGATGTAAATATTTTAAAAGAGAATCTTCTATAAGAAATAGTATTAAATTTAATAAGATTTTGTTATCTCTGTGCTGTATCATATTAATTTTTTATAATAAATTAAACTTTTATGTCAGTTTTGCCGACTTACGAGATTCTTACAAAGTCAAAATCAATACTTTATTTACAGTAAGACATTAAGAATACTTTCATATTATGACTTTTTGTTGTATATCCTGAATACTAGTATTAATACATTCTTTAATTATTATTAAAATCAAATGTATATAATTGTCATTAAATTTAAATATTGTCTTATATTCACGTATTAACTGTAATATTTATGTCAATAAATCTTAAGGTTTAATCTTTAAATTATCCGGATTAGCCGCTATCATATTCAATTCTTCTTGTTATTATAGTTTAATAATATCACTTAAATTATTGACTATTTTCAAACAAATTTATTATTAAACATAATTTTGTAAACTTAAATTACGATTCTGAAATTTGTGTTTTTAAATTAAATTAAATTTTAATATTTAGATTTTTATTACACAACATATGGTCAAAATGAGAACAATTGTGTAGATTTGAGTCAATGTATAAATAAACTGAAAATTTTGACAAATGAGGAAAATATGGCATTTGCTCACAAAGAGGAACATTTGGAAGAACTATGTGGGTAAGTGTTCATTCATTTTGCTTATTACCGTAATAGTGGTTTACCTTTTACAGTGCAGTACAGTATACAGGAAACATAAACACATTTAATTTATCGTATAAAATATAATACATTTGAGTTGACATTATTAGAGACGAAGACAGCTATCGGTATAATAAGGTTTAGTTGATGTTAAAGAGAATGATTGGTTTTAAAAGCTCTTTAAGCAAAGCAAAGAACTCAATGAAAATAAACTTCAATTACTTAGTGAACAGATAGAAAATGTTAGTATTTGTTAAGCACTCAATAAGAGTAATAATAAACGCACGTAAGTATCGATTGAAATGGAGTTTAACTCGACTTTTAAGGTGAAAAAATAGACAGAATTTACGGTTGACTTAGTTTTGCCCAACATTTCTCACTGGTGTCTAAATGTAAGCTTATATTGATTTGCTTTAAACTCTCTTACATTTTATTACATTTAAATTAATAGTTATTGTAAAGCTATGTAACCACTCATTCATATGAAGCAAATTTGTAATTACTTTAATTCAATTTATAATTTCAAAACCACTCATTTTGTTTTAAGCCATATCTCATTATAGAGTTTATCACAGAAATCAATGTTAAAAACAGAAAATGCTATAAATGTAGGGATGACTGGCTCTAACATATCTTTGCTATTATATAACGCTTATCAACAAATGTGAAACAACTTATTCGTTCATTTCTTTTTAAGTTTTTTGGCAAATATTGAAAATTTATTTTTGGTGTATTAATGGTCAAAATTATTGGTTTACAAATAGATTGTCTTAGATTAGAGTAAATAACAAATGAAATAAAAATGTCTTAAATTATACATTTTTATATTTACATTATTTACAAGTACAACTCTTAATTGAGTTTATTATATCGTATGATAAAAAGAAACTTTAGTTAAAAGAAAAAAATTGATTTGACAAATGAGTGTTAACTACATGTATTGTATTCTATAATAAGGAAGTGAGAGCCAAATGATTGCTCAAAAAGTGATGTCTATTATAAGATTGAGACATCATATAAAAGCTCTTTATTTCTCATTGTATTATTGATGAATGAATTGATGATTTGTGTGACAAATACAGAAAACTGAAAGAAGCGGTCGATTGCGTCAATATATTCATCAGGAGATGTCTTGACTCGAGTTCTCAGATCCAATACGAGGCGATGACTAATGGAACTCAAAAACTAATTAAAGATCTTTGCACTAAAGGATCGCCTTTCAGAAAAGGTTTGCTTTCTTTTGTCACACATTTTCTCGCTTCTAGTCCTCATATACCGTATATTTGGGTCTAATTTTTAATTTTGTTTGCAGAATATCTAAAACACGCCAAATGTTTCCATAGATATCAACAACAATACAGGATGTGTTCCGATCGATACTTCTCTTATGCGGACACTTTCAAAGATGAGGACCAAACCACTCAAATCAAAACCTGGTGCTGGTATGTCTCACTCACACCAATTCATGTTATGCACAGAATCGCCACAATCTATTCAATCATCAACTCAAATCCATATGAGACACTTTGTCGTATAAATCACTGATAACACTATTTCATACAGTATTCACTATATTATCGAAGTATACTGTATAATATTAATGACTAACTAGAGTTAGAATTAGAATGGTATATAGTTTATACGGTACAGTACTACAGTATATAAGTACAGTATCTATAACTTACTGATGACAAAATTATATATTAGCTATACTTTATTATAATTAGTATAGACATTAATTTGAAAAATAATGTGAATAAAAATACTGCATTTTAATAAGACATTTATTAGACTTTCAAAAAGTTAAGAAATTTTTACATAAATTTCTAATTTTGATTTTATTTCGAAATGATCTCAACTCAAAGTGAATGAATTTGTCGGTTGTTTTGAGACATCAATAATACGTTTCTAATGGAGTATTGATTTTGTCGATAAATTCTTTAGGGAATCCAAAACAGAATATTTGTGTCACTATTTCTTATCAAATCAAATCTTCAGATAAGTGCACAATAACAGCAAAACTGTTTTATTTTAAATTTATTGCACATCCAATGTGAGTTTAAGTCAATATATTCGCATATAAATCAAAAAACATTTAAAATATTGCGGTATTATTCTGAACGAAAGTCTCGTTTCCTTTAAAAAAATGAAACTTAATTAATGTCAGAGTCAGACAATGAAAGAATATACTCTATAATAGTAGGCATTGAAATGATTTGTCATTTTTGGCACTAAACCTATTTTATAAGTGAATGTAAGAATTTACAAAAGAATCAATTATTGAATCATTTTCTAACCATTATAACGATATTAATATAACAATTGACAGTAACTTCGATAGACATCGTCTGTGTACTTATGATTCAGTGCTGGAAAACTGCGGAACAGGTATTTAATGAATGATATAATGAATGCCAAATTCATTTAGATGTCTAATACATTGACTGATTGACTAATTCAGATGCGGCCACTTTGGCGCAAAACATTGTGATAACTGGAGGAGGAATTCTTGTGGACATGTATTGCACTAATTATACTCATAGTTCTCCCCATTGTTCCAATGGTGATCATTATCCGACACCCAATTCACAGCACATCTCCTTTCTTATGATTATATCATTTCTTATTTTTATATTAAATATCACATAAAAGTGTTAATAATGTATATATTATATAAATATAGAGATGAGTTATCGTCCAATCAATATGTTGTATAAATTATAGATATAATCTCAACAGGTGTCTACAACTATTAATACTATTAATAATTTCTAATGTAATTAACTGTTGATTTAATTGAAAAATTTTGAAAATATAAATACTTATTTATTGTTTTATGGATTTCACAAAAGCTTATTATACTTATGACTTGCATTTGACTAACATATCCATGAAATTGCATATAAATCATAATTATTGATTAAATGCAATTTTCGGGTTCATTTTATATGGAATAATGGTTTCAAGAAATCAAATTGTAAATCAGTTCCGCACTAAGCTTCGTAATAGACAGTGAACTCTTAAAACAGCAGGGTAGTTCTGTCTGTGTGCACTAATCGTAAGCAAAATATAATATTTTAAAAAATGGAATGGAACTAGTATTGACTCAAAATAACAAGGTCTAACACTTTAGGTTTCATAAAAATTATTAAATATAATATAATATGAATCCAATGTGTGCAATAACTGCAATAACTGAACTTCCCTGTTGTTTAAGAATTGACTGCCTATTAAGTTAATTTACTTGGCTTAGTGGTCCACTGATGTAAATCATTTTTCAAGTATCTCATGAACAGAGAGTTATAATATTGAAAATATACTATTTATATGAACAATTAATTGGACTAATATAAATCTGGTGTATTATGAAATTATGATTGCAACGTGTTATCTTTGATGAAAATTGTCAAATAATTATTGAATATAAGACTTATAATACTTATTTATTGTTTTATGGATTTCACAAAAGCTTATTATACTTATGACTTGCATTTGACTAACATATCCATGAAATTGCATATAAATCATAATTATTGATTAAATGCAATTTTCGGGTTCATTTTGTATGGAATAATGGTTTCAAGAAATCAAATTGTAAATCAGTTCCGCACTAAGCTTCGTAATAGACAGTGAACTCTTAAAACAGCAGGGTAGTTCTGTCCGTGTGCACTAATCGTAAGCAAAATATAATATTTAAAAAAATGGAATGGAACTAGTATTCACTCAAAATAACAAGGTCTAACACTTTAGGTTTCATAAAAATAACTATGAGGACAATTCTAAACCTTAGATCAAATGATAGGAGTTTTCCAAACATTAATATATGTACAAATCAAGTCTAAGAAAAATACAGTAAAATACAGTAAAAGTCATACAAATGAGTGAAACTTAGGTTAAAACAATGGTTACTTTGAGTCAATAGTAGTTCCACTTTAAAAGCAATCATTTATGTTTACAGGTAAAATAAAAATTATTAAATATAATATAATATGAATACTTATCCGATGTATGCAATAACTGCAATAACTGAACCTCCCTGTTGTTTAAGAATTGACTGCCTATTAAGTTAATTTACTTGGCTTAGTGGTCCACTGATGTAAATCATTTTTCAAGTATCTCATGAACAGAGAGTTATAATATTGAAAATATACTATTTATATGAACAATTAATTGGACTAATATAAATCTGGTGTATTATGAAATTATGATTGCAACGTGTTATCTTTGATGAAAATTGTCAAATAATTATTGAATATAAGACTTATATTATAAGTGATGGTAAGACTGTGCCTCACAATGAACACCATTTCATATTTAATTGTATACATAATACTTATCATAATGTGTTGTTTGTCTCATTCGACTCAATGTTATTCACACATATTATAATTATTACTGTATATGCATTTGAATTGACTTTTTCTAAACATATTGATGTTATTGTGTTTCTAATTTTGATAGTAATTAATAAAAATACATGTTATATATAAATAGATTAGATAATTTAAAGTAATTTAAAGCAATAATTAAAAACTAAGATCTAATAAGTATTAATACTGTATATCATTCTGAACGATATAACCTGGTAAGAATATTATTCTGGAAGTCATAGTTATACTGACAATATTTATGATACAGTCATTTGTCAAAAATTGTAATGTTTTATTTGCATAATTTGTGATTTGTTACCGATGGTGATTGACATCTAAGTTATTGTTTTATCAAATATGTTTGACAAGTACTGTATTTGCAAACAACCCTATAAGAGCTACAAATCATTAATCTGGCGCTAATGTAGTGCTAAAGGAAAGGGATATAACTTAGTCTACAAATGTAGAGAAACAAGATTACATCCAAGAAGAGTACTCTATTAATACTTACAGTCGCTGTCTGTAGAGTATGTAGAGTTGCATTTTGATAATTATGGCATAAGACTGACCATTTCATTTTTAAAATTGTTGGATATGTACAATGAATAGCCTTACACGTTGTATAAACGATGTATCTTATAATCAAAATCTTTTGTAAATTGTCTTTTTTTGAGTAAAATGTGGATCAAATACAGTTGATATGTCTTTTAGACATGAATTCTACAACTGATATCTCCTTTTAGTAATACATTACTGTATATGCTGTATATATTTCTGCTAATATTCTACTCAATTCATCCAATATCTCAATGTCTGCCTTATATTGAGCTCTCAAACAAAAGCCTCAATTAAAGTTGAGTTCATTTAAGCGAAAATATATATCAACTTTTGCCGACAAATGCTTAATAAACTTCAATTACTTAGTGAACAGATAGAAAATGTTAGTATTTGTTAAGCACTCAATAAGAGTAATAATAAACGCACGTAAGTATCGATTGAAATGGAGTTTAACTCGACTTTTAAGGTGAAAAAGTAGACAGAATATACGGTTGACTTACTTTTGCCCAACATTTTTCACTGGTGTCTAAATGTAAGCTTATATTGATCTGCTTTAAACTCTCTTACATTTTATTACATTTAAATTAATAGTTATTGTAAAGCTATGTAACCACTCATTCATATGAAGCAAACTTGTAATTACTTTAATTCAATTTATAACTTCAAAACCACTCATTTTGTTTTAAGCCATATCTCATTATAGAGTTTATCACAGAAATCAATGTTAAAAACAGAAAATGCAATAAATGTAGGGATGACTGGCTCTAACATATCTTTGCTATTATATAACGCTTATCAACAAATGTGAAACAACTTATTCGTTCATTTCTTTTAAGTTTTTTGGCAAATATTGAAAATTTATATTTGGTGTATTAATGGTCAAAATTATTGGTTTACAAATAGATTGTCTTAGATTAGAGTAAATAACAAATGAAATAAAAATGTCTTAAATTATACATTTTTATATTTGTACTCTTAATTGAGTTTATTATATCGTATGATAAAAAGAAACTTTATTTAAAAGAAAAAAATTGATTTGACAAATGAGTGTTAACTACATGTATTGTATTCTATAATAAGGAAGTGAGAGCCAAATGATTGCTCAAAAAGTGATGTCTATTATAAGATTGAGACATCATATAAA